GATACTAATTGTACAATGTTGTTTCAGTGAGCAATTGATCATTGTTAAATTGTCATTGACTGGTATTTTCAGTTATTACAACATATAAAGCGTTATTGATTAAACAGCGTTATCTTTCCCATGCTTCATCTATCAATCTAGCTATACAAAGCGAGTTCAGCTTCAGCCATAGGTAACAAAATGTACATTCGTGTATAAGCAAAAGTAGGGGTTGATTATGTATACATGCAGTCTTAAAAAGCACAATATTGAATAGTTGAATAAGTATGGTATTGTGGTACTGTAAACAGTCATTTTCACGTTTATCTGATTGTATTTCATTCATTCTTAGTAATTGAGCAAATGATTTTGTTTTATAAAAAGAAAAAAAAAAACAATAATTGTAATTTCACAATTCACTTTGATTTATATAATGAAATAATGTTTTGAGAAAGTTTTCTTCTTTTTTATCAATGAAATATAGACAACGAAACAGCCTAGAAATAATTTTGTTATTAAGTGTCGTAAGTTAGATGTGTATTCAATGATATAGATAATGTCTATATTATCCTGAATAGAAAACAAAAATACAAACAAAGCAATCAAAAAACAATAAGTGTAAAAAAAGCACACAAAACAATGGTCAACACAGTTCCTTTTTATTGCAGCATCCACGTGTCAGAAATACTGTGAGATGAGATGATGAGACATCTGAGTTTACTTTTACTTCTACTGGTACGTTTTTCTTTGATTTAAAACTGTATCATTTTAGTGAAATTAATGCATGATACTTTTTATTTGATTAAAATCCAAACTGCCAATAACTGTATCTCATGGTAATAAATCATTATGTAATTCTCAAATATCTTTTTTTTAATTTTTTGTTTATTCAACAACAGTATTGCACACGCTGTTAACAATTACTCCACTGACACAGCTATCTCAGTGAAGGCGAAGTACCAGAAGTTCAGGGATTCTTCAAGTAGATAAACTGCATATTGTTAGTCGTTTACAAATATTGATATAACATCAATAGATAAATAATGCTATTATATTATAATAAAGTATTTATACCATCTGGCGTTATTTTCGGAATTTCATAGTTTATCCGAGATTGGGATGATTTATAACCTATTACCAGTTTCCATATGTTTCCGGATAACGGTTTTTTTAAATCAATATAATGAAATAGATTGTATATTAGCTTTTTCTACATCATTATTCAGGTAAGACAGTTATAATTTGAAAGATTATTAGTCATACGGTAATCGAAAAACAATTGTGCTGTGTATTTGTAATGTATATACATCTTCCAAGATTATATAAATATTGCAATGTCCATCATGCATCATAAATAAATACAGGATTAGATAATAAATTAATTAATACACAAAGATAACATTACTAACCATTTTAACAGTTCATACAATTCAAATACACCTAAATATTTTTTCTTATATACCTTTTCTTTCATGGTTAAAATATTTGTTTTGTAGAATGAGCCTATTTTTAAGCTCAGTTTTAAAACAGAAAATACATTAATATTCTTTGTTCTAAACTCTGACAGATAGTGTATTTTGTGAATTGAATTTCAATAAGCTGTCCATTTTTTATGAAAAGAATTGCGTGCGGAGTAATTTAAAGCAATACACAGAATAATATCTGTTTTGTACAGATGATAGAAATCGTCAGTTGACTCAGCAAATGATTTTTGCTCTTTATTGATGATTGTTACCTGGTTTTGCATACTTGGCCAAAACAATAAAAAAAGGTCCAAGGAGAAATGATCAGAAAGACTATATTTGCAAATATATCAGTCGATTCCTTATAGGAGTTATTACGGTCAGAGATAATTTTAGCATAGTTTATGCAAAAACAAAATTAGATTTTAAAACCATAAACAGCAAGACGATTTCTATTTAATAAAATAAACATTGTAACTACACTTCTTATAAAAGTTATTGACCTTAAAGAAATTAAAATGGAAAAGGTTGAACTAACAACTGAAAAATTTAAAGCAAAACAAAATCAACAAATAAAAAGAGATATAAGTTATGAATCATAACTTAGTATTCAATTTTGAAGAGTGGACAATATTGAAAATGCACAGAACTAAGTTCAGAGACACAGAACTTTAGGGTTTCTTGTTAATATAGAACCCTCTTCTCATTTCAAATTATCAGTTTGACAATACCATGATACAATATCGGATGGGGCTGTAAGGCTATTGCATATGAATTTGGATAGCTAGTATCGATTACCGATGAACTGATATGAATATTTACAGATACAAATTAATCTTCATGGACTTGACAATGGATTTACATTTCATTGTCCTTTTCCTTCACAATGGAATTTCCGAGCAAAAGGATTATGTCATCTATCCGACGGATACCATTGTTTATACGACGCGAACAAAGTGCAGAATATTGAAGCTTGCAGGGACGGACCACAGTTTGAAGCTCCTGGTAATTTGTTCATTTCTATATTAGATTGTATTTGAAATGTCATCTGTCTGAACAGATGGACTAGTATTTTTTCCATCACAACCTAACTGCAAAATTTTGGATACACGTTGATGAATATCCGGTTGATATATGTTCATGAACTAATAAAGGTGTAATCATTAATTTAATTTGTGTCAGACAGTTGAACTCGGGAGACCGGGGCTGATTGCCAAATACTTAAGACAGAAGTGCAGGGGAAGTGTCTGTGTAATAATATTATCAAGGTCTTCTAGCAGTTTAGATAAGGGATCTGGTATAATTACTAGTAAAAAAAATATTTCGACTAAAAAAAGGATCATTTATCCTATAAAAATTTAATTCGGAGAATATATGTATGAATAACAATACTGATTCTTCCTTCATTATTTGTCTAGAGTCATTCATGTATTTTCTGATTCCTTTAGAACCAATGAATATTTGGAAACTCAAAACGGAAAGTCCTTTAACAAATGGCAAAATACATTATTGTATTTTGTTTTATTACATGGACTCCTGAATTTCAAGACGTGGTCTATTTAAAATATATCGAAACAACTTTCACCGATTTAAATCAAATTCTCGTATTTGATTAATGACATACTAAAACGTATATCCAAATTGCAAAAAGTCTAAAATAAATTATTTAATAGCAGAGAATTGATAATATATATTTAACTCTAGATACCATCTAATCAATCATCGACATGACCCGCAAAGTTTGCCAATGGTCATATAACCATATATAAACATGAATGTATTATAGATAAATAGCGTGTAGGTCTGTTTAATTTCATGTTTTAGGTTGATGAAAAAATATGAATAATCGTTTTTAGGTATAATACCTAATTTTATTTTTCTCTATTAGTCTTTGCTAAATTTGCACTTTTCGAAAAATTGTGCTGAAATTATCTTTGTTTCAAAAAAAGAAATACTTGGCATGAGTAAAGTTTTATCCTGTCCAGTACTATAGACAAAATGTCACATCACATTTCATTGCATATAAGAAAATAACCATCACTGGAAGTTAACCAATCAAATTTTCACCTCTTTTTTACTTGTGTACAAGCTTTAGTAACCATTTAAAGTTTTAAAAATATTCTATAGAAACCCAAATTAAAAAAAAATGGTGCTTTGAAATACCCAAGATGTATGTCTGTGACCCAGAAATGTTTTACTGCAATGAAATGTAAGATTTACTACCTACAACTGTCAAATTCAAGTGAATATTTTTTCTACCTATTTTCGTATGCAACCGGATGTGACGTACTATGATTTGGTGGTTTTAAACCTTTACCTATATAAAATGAATTTTTGTTGATAGATTCAGTCAATCAAATGTTTCACCCATTTTTACTTTAAATGTTGACAGTCTGTTCCTATTACATGTATCGATATCTTAACACGCCTTGTACATGCGTAACCCATCTCCAGCTGATATTGAAGTTCACATAAATATGGATTCACATGAAGTCGTGTTAATCACTTCAAAGTTAATAATACATCACAAACGTTAATGAGCTTATTTTGAAAAAATTTGACAAAACTTACTGCTTAAAACGAAAAATTATTTCATAATTCCACTTTTATTAATATTTCAAACCCCAAAAATTCATATATTGATTTTTTTTGGTCTAAATCGTAGCCATTGCTTTTTTTAAAAAGGAAAACAGAATGATTTAGTATCTCAGTCCCTAAAGATGTTTTTATTCAGGTTTTGCCAGTAGTATAAGATACAAGCTGAGGTCTTTGCTATAAGATACCCTAAATAAATTCGTTAATAAGGGTAATAATACCGGACTAAAGGAAGGACATATTGTATTTTGAGTGGCCGTACGTCCGTCAGTATCATGATATTTTGTCCCATTTGTCAACTTGAAATCTTATATTAAGCTTCAGCTGAGCATGCTATATAATTTTTTACGTCCAAATTCGATCACTATCGTGTTAACAGTCGTCTACAAATACATGAAATACTTGTCACCGGACTGAAAGGAAGAGTAAATCATTTATTTTTAAACATATTGCGGCAAAATCATTCATAAGCACAGTGCATCTCATTCTATAAAGCCTTGACTCATGTCTAAATCATTATTTTGATGTAACATGTTTATGTTGTCATAATGACATAAACACAAACATATCTATTCTTTACTTTTCAGTTTATATTTATAATTTTGTATCAATCAAACTCAAACTATTTCGAATTGATGTAGTTATTTTTTGGAATTTCGAGGGTTATTTAATGGCACTTATTCCTTCTTTAGCATCATTCCATCGTATTATTTGACTGATATTTTTCTTTTAGCTTTTTTCATAATTATCAAGAAAGGTATGTTGCGATATGAATAATTTGAGTAGAAAATAATATGTTTTAGTTTTCTTTATAACTGCGCATTGTTGAAGAAATATAAAATGCTTTCGAACTTTTAGTATAAACGATGTCGTACATTTACAAAAATAGTAAACCAAATACAACTGTACATCTCATTCAGTCAGTTAATCAAAGTCTCCAGAATAATTATTTTATCTTTTTAGGAAATAAACTGCAAATAGTTGGAAGTTTAGAAGTTGTAAAATGTACAAATGAACGATATCAACCTTTTATTTTCTGGACAAATGGCAGTCACCTTTGCAAATTTGAAAAATCATTTTGCACTGACGAAGGACAAGTGCTTTTTTCACAAGGTACAACTAAAAAAGATAGTACGTGTAGATGTGACTACACAAAAGGTTATGACTTTGTAACTAAACCAAGAAATACATGCTTCTGTATTCCAACTGAAGAAGACTGTTCTTGTTTCATTAGGCATTGTTCCAGTGGATTGGTCCTTTCTCCAGGTATGGTACATTTCTAAAATAATAATTTGAATTAAAAAAAGGCCTATTGTGCTTAACAAGACTTTGTGAGGTAGACGAAACTGGCATTAAAACGATCGTTTTGAATTTTGATGGTCACAAATAGGCATATCAGACATATTTCGACTTTGTTGACTGACTACTTTTGTTTGGGATTAATTGTGATTGTAACATTATAATAAGACCAAAATGTAAAGATAAACACTAATTTTACCTGGCGTAAAACGTCATTTGAGTTTTATCTTCGAAAATGACTTGTTTAATGGAATAAAACCGTAAATTTGAAATTTTCTCTTTTTCCCTCTCTCGCGAATAGGCGATTAAAAAATAATAGAAAATTATGTGAAATATTTAAGTTTGTCATTTTTACTTTTCATACCTTTAATCTCATTGATAAAAAAAATCCTATGGACTCGTCCAGTGTGCAGTTTGAAGGTCGTTAAGGTTACTGTTCATATTCATGCACGTTCAGATTTAATCAATATACGTGTATGAAAAAAATAAACAGTTTGAAGAACTTAAGGTGGCTGGGGCGTCTTAATTGATTAGAATTCATAGAATTTTTTAATACTTTGTCAAAATGAAGTTTTTATCATGCTTTTTTCAAAAATATAATAAAAAGTATGGGTCACCGGACTTTTTTTCACACTACAGTTTGTGCAAAATTGTAAGATTTTGTATAGATTATGCATGGAAAATCCAGTTTTGTGTGATAAAAAGAAAACTATCTGATAGAATTTTTAAGATAAATGTGAGAAGATAGCTCTTACAACATGCTTTAAGATAAGTAAAAGAAAAAATGGGGTCACCGAACTTGTTTTTTGCTACATATTAAAATAGTTAAATTCACAACACTTTCTATTACAAAGTTACTTGATCTGAATTATCTCCCCTTATTTGTCAAAGTTGAAAAAAATGAATAACACACAAGTATGGTGTTATTTTGAAATTACAGCCGTATTTATGATAAAACACATAATTTTTTTATATTTGTGTCAAAAGTTTTACACATGAATTACATACTACTCTAAAAATTTGCACATTTCATTAAAGATCTAGACCAACTACTTCAAAATCCAAGATGGAGGAAGACACCCGAGCCACCTTAATCCAATCAAATTGCGTAAGAGTAAAAAACAATGAGCGGTCCACATCATAATAAGTATTAGGGGTAAACTGGGTAGGGAGAAAATGACAAATATTTTCAGTTTATTTTTTATAATAATTCATGAAAACTTGTTAATAAAAAGTTTGCTATAATTTCAAAAACATTTCATTTGTATTGGTATAGTTTTCGGTCCTTTCATTTGCGTATTTAAGGCAATATGAAGTTTGGGCTTTAAAAGTCATAATTATTGACATTATACAGAAAAATCGTTCTTTCAAAACATTTCATGTTTCACAAATAATAAGGTGATATAAAGTAAAATCATTTCTTAAAACAATGCAAAAAAATATTCTGATTGGCATAAAGTGATTTGTCATAAAGTGCTTTAAAATGAAACGTTGTATAGCCAACATCGAATTCCCTCACAAAATATTATCACACACTATAATGTTTTTTTAATTATTTATGTCAACATATGTCATCTTTAAAGCTAAATATTTCAAAAGATTTCAATAAATACGTTCTGCTAATAGTTATTTGAAATGAAAATTCACTATTGTTGTATACTTTTAGGCTAATTTTATGATTTTCAATTCGCTTCGATATAATAAGAAGACGTGTAAAAAGGTAAATTGCAAATTGAATAATAATCATTCATTCTTCTATTTTCGATTCTGTTATTTCTTATGAAATTAAATTATTCATGTAGGTGATTAGTTTTGGTATCTTCTGACATTCAGGCAATACAAGTATCATTATGTCCATATTTGTCTTATCATGAAACAAATAAGTACTCTAAATGTGTATTTAACAGTGTGTGTCGTAACATAATTTTATTATTTATATAATTGATGATTGATTGGTGGTGTTTTCTCAACTTCATTTTTGTAAACTTGAATACCTTAGTAAATTAAAACGAGTTTTTTTTCAGATTATAAATGCGTACCAGTGATTAAGTTGCTTGAAATCTCACAGTGTCCAATAACAACTAGTAGCGCGTAAGATTACTCACGATACATTAATAAATAAGAATTATGATTGCCATTAATTTAAAACTGTACATGAAAAATCTACTAAAACTGAAATAGTAGGCAATCACCAACTGATCGATAAAATTAGTGTGCAATACGTTTTACGTGAATTACATGAAGACTTTGGTTTATATTTATAATAATATTGTCATCTTAGAATTTTCAATCCAGTTTTTAAACCTATTCTGCCACGTTTGCTTAGAGTGTGAATTAAAAAAAAAAAAAAAAACGCGTTACCTCAAACCAAGACAATGACGCTAAATTATTGCATTATTTTACGGATCATATCGCTATTTGCAGATTTAAACACCACAAAAAAAATGTTTGAATGAATTGGTAAGTTGCCAGTTGCAAGTCAAATGTTGTGTCGCGGTAAAACACCATTTTCCGTAAGCAGTTAAAACCTTGTTGTATTCAGTATTGATTCCTTCTTCCTGAATGTGCATTAAATATTTGCCACTTGAGCTTAGACAATGATTAATCAAACTTACACGAAAAGTATGATAATTGAAAAAGCAATAATATAAGTGTTTAATCTTTGAATTCACAATGCATTTATGAAATCAATAAAATTGAGAATAGAAATGGGGAATGTGTCAAAGAGACAATAACTCAACTTAAGAGCAGAAAACAGCCGAGGACCACAAATGGGTCTTCTACACAGCGAGTAAATGCATTTTAATCTCGTAAAAAGTACATATTGGTGGCCTTCGGCTGTTTTCTGCTCTTTGGTTGGGTTGTTACCTTTTTGACCCATTCCCCGTTTCCATTCTCAATTTTATGTAGCTGCAAACCAGTAAATACTTGATGGAAGTATAGGGCAGATGCCTTATTGCCAAGTAAAATTACTAGATTATTGACATAGCAACTAACGTTTTATAAAAGGAAAGTCACTTACTAAATGTCAAAATAAAAAAAATAAAAAACAAACACATCCAACGAATTGAAAACATCAGTGATATTCCTGACATGGTATAGACATTTCCTCATGTAGAAAATTGTAGATTAAACCTGGTTTTAAAGGTTTATATGTTACTGTATGTTTCTCTTAGTTTATTGTACAATATATAACTTATTGAATTTAACTGTCATCCAAAAGTACTTTAGCCATCGGTCGAAATATATCGTGTACTTGTAGTTATGGAAATTAAACAAAATTAAAAGATGCAAGCACAACTTTAAATCTCGTTGATTTTTGCATCAGTAGTGCTGGAACATAAATATTGGAAATATTTGATTTGATTTCTATGTTATAAGGCCACTTTTAAGCACCGCATGTAGGCTATTTCTTGGCTGGCAGTTTTTATTGGTGGAGGAAGCCGGAGTGCCCGGAGAAAATCACCGACCTTCGATAGGAAAACTGACAATTCTAGTCAATCAAGATTGGAGTCGAATGCACCCGCACGAGCAAGGTTCGAACTCACAACCTCAGTGTTGCCTGGCTAGAGATAACAGTAGTAACAACTTAGACCACTCGGCTAACGAGGCCCCAATATTGGAAATATGAGATTATCAGACATTAAAGAACCATGACATCTTATACATGCAATTCGTTAGATGTGTTTTAACTTTTGATTTTACTATTTGAAAATGGACTTTCTGTTTTGAATTTTTCTTGGAATGCGGTACTTTTGTTCTTTTACTTTTTTCATATCGATAGATATTTTTGTATATATATAATAATTGATTATTCGTTCAATCGTATGACCTACTTGCGTAAAGTCGTATGTTTATCGTCAAATGGGTGTAACAAAAAAGCATTATATACATTTTTATTCATATATGACGTAATTTCTAAATGCCGTTCTGGTGAAACAATTAAATTTACAAGATTTGACCAAATCGATCTATGCACGCTTTCTTTTCTTAAGATAAGATATCCAATATAGTAATAACAAAACTACGTTAATAGATCCCACCAACCGTATATAATGGGAAAATTGGTTATATACTTTACTTCCGCATACATTTTGCTAACAATACTTGTTATACTCATCATTTTTATAGCTACATGTTATGTCCATCTGAAATTTTATCAACGGTAACATATTTGTATTTATATTCATATGTAGTGTTTATTTTGTGTTTGTTGAATGATTGTATCTTACTTTTAAATATTTGTTTGATGTTATTAGAGAAACTACTAAAAGACCTACCCTATCCATAGATAAAAAAGACGACACACATACTTACTACAATGGTAGGTAATGTAAAATATTTGTTACATATCGTTTTGTGTTTCTAAAAGGGTTCAAATTCACAAAATCATTCTACGTGTGCATTAAATGATTTTTTTTAAAAACTTATTGATGATATATACAGTTTATTTTAAATAGTGGTAAAACCAATTGGTCATGATTCATTGGATCTATATTTTCCAGTTTTGGTAAAAGTGTATAACGTTTACATTATAAAAATGTACTTCTTTAAAGTAATGGCGATCGGAGCAAAACTATATATAATATAACAGCATTTTAACGTATACCATTTGTGATAAGCGCATACTTGTTTAATATATATATATATCTTTTTTTCAAAATTTTACAATTCATCGGGTTGCCCTCATGACATTAACACGATTAAACAACCACCAAATAATCAATCATGAAGTTGCATCCTTTATATGAATGAAAATTGAACAGATAATTATGTGGATTTAAATTATTTAAAACTAAAATTCAAAAATACAATATCAAATAAGGAGATTTGTTGTGATAACCAATGAGACAATTACCGACAAAAGTTGAAATGAAGAGGATGTAAATGGCAACCGATTCGCGTCTCTTTTTGCTTTTCTAATTTATTCGTAGGTATCAGAGTAAGTAATTTTCTAAAGTGACAGCATGTTAATGTTATTCATAACGATAAAAAGTCAAGTCAAAAAGTAAAGTAAAGTAAATTTTTTAAATCTATCATAGACAATAGGTAGGTACATGTACACCATGTATTTCAAATGTTGTACAACATCCTTTTTTTCATTTTAGATCATGTCTTTAGAATCCATAAAGTTGTTCTTTTGGTGTTGCTTTTGCTGGTAACAGGTAAATCTGTTCATTTGTTGTTGTTCTTATATTATAATAATTTAAATTTTTTGGGGTTCAATTGACTTAAATAAAAGCAAACGAACAATCAGTTTTATGGTAATAAAAACATTTTTGGCAATAAATTTTTATACACTAATTTTTAGCTATATAGACTACTGTTTCAACTTGTATAGGGTTTATTTGTTATCAATGTTGTAATAAGAAACCGAACATTTCCATGCATGGTCTTTGTCTAGGAATTATGCAAGTTTTTGATTACAAGCAGTCATGGCCAGCATGGTCATGGCATGATCAGGGTCAATACTAATTATTATTGGCCACAAATATTTTAATTGACCAATAAGGATAAAGTGCATGCTAACTTTTAACAAGCGTCTGGTTGCGCCCGCATTATCGCAATTGCACTGAATGCTACTAGACGCTATTTTTGTTTTGCAAGAAAAGTAAAGATTTTCAATTTGTAGACTTGTGGGTTGTAAGCCACTCTTTACATGAGACTGTGGCATGTTTTTTTATCACATTGCACACATTGGTGCTTATGTTTGCAGTTTTCGCTGGAGCAGCCACCTGTTCAACAGAAGGTCCAGCAGTAACCAGGTGGAAATTGACTGCTTTGTTGCTGAACCCGCCGTTGAAAGGGAGGACCTCCATTTTGTTTAACAGATTTATTATTTGATGCATAATTAGTAGTATTTGCACGATTGAAATGATCATAAAAGGCAGTGCGCCAAAGATCATCATTTACAACTGCCCAATCAAATTTCATCACTCTGCGTACCTTTCTAAATGTTTCATCGTATGCTTTTGCCATGTTAAACCCAAATTGCTTTGAAATTGCTCTAACATTATATGCATATTTGATAAGACTTAAAATATGTTCTGGATGGTTAACATAATAAATAGACATATAAATATCAAAGGCTGCAGTCAACTGATGGATTGAAAAGAACTGTTTTGGCTTTGCGTAGGTGGAAATTTTTACTGCTTTCGATCTAAAAAGTACATCATCATCTTCATCTTCATTACAATTTGGAGAAAGGGTGACAAAATCCACATAACTATCAGACATAATGTCTTTCCTGATTTTTTCGCTGACACTAAAACCCAAGGGTAAAGTATTTTTCAGTAAGTAACTTGCAGTCTGCCCTATAACAGAATTGTTAATACCTAATGATTGGTCTTCTTGTGTTGTTGGACAACTGGCTGTGAAGTATCCTGCAACTGATAGGTCTGACGTCACAGGTGGTACCAATGAGCAGTGGACGGTGTTTGAGGATGAAGACGGCAATGTATATTGACTCTCTGTTGGGTAATCAGTGCCGGAGACCGCTTCCTGTGTTGCACTAGAGCGTATACCACACACACTTGACAATCTGTCATCTGATATTCGGACTCCACTGCTGTCCGTTAAGTGTAAACCAGCTCCCCTCAACTGAGTGATCATTGCTGCAGCTATTTCATCTGCTATTGGCTGTGCTGTTGTACTTGCACTGTTCATCACAGGAGCTGTTGATGTAGTTGGACCATTGCTTCGGACTCGTTTTCGCCCTCTTGATGGATTAGTAGTTTCGGTCAGTGCCACGGGATCTATGACAAGGTCCCTTACTGTGAGGTCGGAAGGAGCAGCTCTTCTTTTCGATCTAGCTCTTTGTTTAGGCATCTTTAAAGGAAACAAAAATAATTCTTGACTACCTGATAATGCGTGTTTACTTACAATATAACATCATAAAAATATGCATACATGTATATCACTTATTTAATACTATTCATTGTTTATTGTTCATACAACAATTTCACACAACGAACAATGTGGCACACAATAATGCAATATTATATGGCAACTACATTGTAACCATACATGATAATAACCATGTAAGTGTATGTTACATGTAAAACAGTATGTAAATAAAACAAGTGTAATCTGATACATAAATACAAAAGTGCACTATGAATATCAGAACCATAATGATGGTTAACCATATGTATGTATAATGATACAAAATATAACCATACAACCAGTGCAAATTGATACCATTTTACAAAATTGCACTGACATATATGATAACCATAGCCATAATGATGGCAATAAAACCATGTGTATAATGATACATTTGTGTGTCACAATAAATTGGATAAATTAAACAAGAGCAGTGGATTGTGTATACTAATTAAAGTATTAAATAACTGATGCATCAGTTTTCATGAATAATAAAACAATGATGTACATGTACAAATAATAGCATACTATAACTAAAGCTTTTTATTTATTATAAGCAAACTATGTAAACGTATCGTTAGATATCCCAATTTCATATTATTAATTTTTAATTATTTTACATACGATTTGCACTACCAACAGCTGCACGAATATTTTTAGCGTAGATGTGCATACCTTCATCATTTAAATGAACTTTATCTGACAACAAAACTTTCGTGTTTTTCCACAGGCCCCGGTGTTTCCAAAAAGTAATATTTGTACGTGATTTCAAAGTTGAAGACAGTACCTTATTCACTTTGTTTACTTTGTTGTTATAATCGGGACCCGACCTTTCGGAATACCTCGGCAGTAATTGCACAACGATCACGTGACTAACACCATACGCTGTAATTATGTAATCACAGAATGACGCGATATCTCGAGCCAATTTCTCAGGTTTCCTCTCGCTTGTCAAGTCATTACCGCCAATTTGAATAAATACAGAATCTGGTTTAAAAGTGTAAAAAACGTGCATAAATTCTGCTTTCTGAATGCTTTTACGACCCGGACGCAATGTACTTCCACCGAAAACTGCAAATTCAACCTGAATTTCTGTACCATCGAATCCTAAATTGTATCGCCCTTCTGCACGATTCTCGTACAAAAAATGATTCTAATCTATGTACAAATGAATGACCAAATATCAAAAATCGATGAACCATAATATACAAATTTAAGAATTTACAATATAAATATAATACGAATAATTTAAATATAAAACGAATATTTTGAATTAAATAATATTTTAGATGGCTTTTACCTTCTAAACAAGTTCTGTGTAATCGTAACTACGTCTTTTCTGTACTAAATCGTCAGTTATCTTCTGTCCAAAGCCTCTTTCAGGAACAAACTACATTTGCGACATTAGAAGCTGACATACTAAAAATGAGAAAATATCAAAGTAGAATAAATACAAATGAATAGAAGAAACGTTGATTTTAAATGAAGATTACTAAGAATCTTTTCATCAGTCAATGTTTAATGCATTTATCAGACCTTAAAATTTTCGAAAAGACTTTGCAATCATGCTCAGGAATGGCGGCCTAAGTAAATTATGCTAAAAACAGTTAATAGTAATGAATAAATGGACCTAAAACAAACGTTGCAACATTAAAGGGCCTTAAGTCGATGTGCCACAAAGATTTAATTTGTATTAATTGTAATTACACTACTATTTCTATGCTACACACAATAAAATAGTAAAATCATTCTTCGTGAACCTACTCCTTTAGTTCGTCGGAATCAATTTTCTAAGATATATACTAGAAAGATGAATTAATATCGTACTGACGTATATTTCGACAAAAGGATCAAAGGTACCTTCGCCTTAAGTTATTCATTTTCCTTCACTTGATGTTAATGTAGGGCACATACATTTACCTCTGTTCGGATGTAACTCCATAATATGTCATTTATAGAAAATGATAATTAGATCATCCAGTAGAAGTTCACAATTTTCAACATTGGGTATATTTTGGAATTTAAATTAACTACAACATATGCAGAAAATTTAGGCACCACAAAATTCTCAGAGAAGTATCAAGCAAATAATGTGCATGACATTCTGATGTTCAATAGATATTCCTAATCATACTAACAGTAAACATTGAACAAGGGTATATTGTTGTTCCCTGGACAAAATATTAGAAATCTCAATTTATAAATTCAAAAAACAACTTTAAGAAGGTTATTAAATATTTGTTTGAAGAGCTCCAAACTTTTGGCAATTCTTCCTTCAAAAACTGCCTCATTTTAAACTAGGTTGAAACCACCATTTTCTTAGGAAAATGTCTGTACCAAGTCAGGAATATTGAAGTTGGTTTATACTTGTTCCGTTGATTGATAACGTTTGTTTTGTCGTGTCTAATTTTTATGTTTTTTACTTTTTTTTTTTTTAACTTGCCTTGGATTTCAGTTTTATTGTTATACTTTTTCATATATATCTGAAGTCAGTTTCACAAAAAAAAACCTACGACTAAGATTGATCGTAAGTCAGTATTCTTAAGATCAATCTGAGTCATAAGTGAAACCGACTCCTGGTCATTAGTTTATATATACCAAACAAGGCATTACTGAAAAAATAGTGTTGATTTCAGGTATGGGCATCATTTACTTTTTATACATCTGTCATGTCGGTAAGTACAAATTATTAATGTGTTTTACTATTTATTTCTGTTCTAAATATTTATTATAAAAATAATTTTTTGAACAGCATGGTTGTGTTTCATTATAAAATATTTCTAGAGGTATTTTAAACAATGACACTTACAAAACGTTTTCTGATATTTGTTATTTTGTGCATACGTTATGATGTTCGATGTCTTAACTACTGCACAATAAGTATATAAATAAATATATGTTTATAATAATATCTGTACTGTTACAATATCTAATATTACACAAGTTTGTCAGTACGTTTAATGGAATTATTCATTACTCCGAAATGATTTTTTTATACTATCTCTTATGTATCCGAAACTAAATGCGGTCAGTGACCTCGCACGTGTTTTGATATATATTGTTTTGTAATGTTTTGAAACATTTTTAGAACTCACGTCTTGTTGAATTAAAATTCCCTTGTTAGTATACTGTCTGATACACTTAAAACTTTGTTTTGGTAAGCAGTTGTTTTTGGATTCCAAATTTTAATTATATAATGATATTTACGAACTGGTTAGAAAGTAAGGGGAACTTTGTATGCAAATCAATATTACTATTTATTCAAATGATGCACAAACCTTACACGTGTTACAGATCTATAGAAGGATATGTTGAGTTTGTAATTGAATGCATTTTTGTTCAAAATTTTGAATCATTATTTGTTATTACCAGGCGTCTTTAAGGGAACTTTTAATTTAGCTACATTTGTCTCTGAACTAGTCTTAAAAATATAAAACATCATACGTGGACGGCCGTTCTAGTACATGTTAAGTCTTTATTCGATTGTTTAATCATTAGCCCTTTTACTTGTTGCCAGTTTTTTCGACAGAGATGATATTTTGACTTCTAAACACTTTGGTCTTTTTTAAACAAAGGAGGAAATATACAAAAATAAATTCAGTTATTTCATATATTTTTACTAGCTGACAACTAAATGATATTAAAGCGACCCTTAACAATAATAATATTAGTAATAACAAAAATATAGGATAAATATCAACGAATTTCGATATATATTAAATAAATGTGGAAGTCACCATACACTCTCAATGAAGTTGCAGATATAGCCAAAAAGATATAAAAAAACGTATATACAATTAGTGATATGTTTAAACATTTACTTGAGTAGGGAAGAAAATGATTATGGTCCTTATAACCTCTAAGAAATTAGTAATGAAGCTGGTTTTTCAATGAAAGTCTAGTGTTGATTTACAAAACTTTACCTCTTCAGAATATCGCTTTGCTTTTAAAAAAATAAATTTGTAATGTGTGCTTCAACACATGGGTCCAAATTGCAGATATCGAGATCTCAGCCACAAACAACATTCTTATGAAACCCTAGCTATATTGTAGTGTCCTTAACTTGTCTGTATAATAATTAGTAACACAAGGTTTCTTGATCCCCTGGAAAGCCTATTGCAATCGTTACAGTGTTGTTTATCGGTACCGTTTCAACAGTGGTTTCTTTTTGTGACTTTGCATAATACGTAGTGTGTATTTTTCATGACATGTGACAATGTATTGACTTTAGATTAATTATTCTCGTCTTTCGCGAAATTTCTGATTTTTAAATTTATTAATGAGTTGCGTATTTAGTGTACTATAAGATATAAGAAAACACTTGTCTTTTCATTTTACGGATGTGAACATCTAAATGTCTGATAAATCTTTCATGTTGCTTATATGTGTATTCAAACGTTGTGAATATCATGTAACAAATAAATCAATAGTTCAATTAACAAAAATACTTAAAAGTGGATGAAATATTCATAAATACTTCAAAGTGTACTAAATCGTGTGTCAAAACATATATTAAAATAAATGATAATAAAATGATTTTACTTTTTCCGTTTTAGGTAAATCTACCATCGAAAAGAATAGTTGGAAAGATCATTTAATGAAGTTTGTAACGACTCGTGCATCACAGGAAATTTTGATTACGATCACAAAAAATCCTTGCGTTTTGATAACAGGTCCTTTTGGATCTGGAAAGACTACGATTGCATGTTACATTTCTTCAATGCTTGCAAAAGAAGGCTATGAAACAAATTTTGTTTCAAATCCAGAGGAAATTATGAGACTTACTTACCGCAATCGAAGACAACTTTTCATAATTGATGATGTATTTGGAAAGTACTCGACAAATATATCTGACATAACTGAACGATCGGAAAAGTACGGTTCAAGTATAAATGCAATTTTAACTAAATCTGGTACTGTGAAAGTTCTCATAACTTCCAGAACATACATATATCAACTAAACTTCATGAGTTTTGAAAATTTGAAAACAGCTATATCCTTTATTCATAAAGATCTTATACCGGAAACTTCAGAATTGGATCTAGAAGAACGTAGAAAAATGTATAAGTCATACTTTGAATCGGACCCACCAAAATCAATTTCTGACGATATTTTGTCATTGTACCATTTTTACCCTGTTATGTGTGCTTCCTATAACAAAGACAATGTTTTACAATACTTCACACATCCTGTAGACATCATATCTGCTGAAATTGATAGCATGCAACAAAAATCAGATATTGGTTATCTCGCTTTAGCCATTCTTGTCGTCATGGGTAATAAAGTCGAAATCAGCCACATTTCTGGTTTGAGCTATTCTGAGAGAACAGACTTCATTCTTCGAGACATTTTCAATGAATCTTGTTTCAATCATTACCCATCAATACATATGTTGTATGTAACATTTAAGTCATTAAATGGAGATTTTATCAAGAATGGTGACACATTCTTTTCCTTCGATTGTCCTGAATTGTTTGAAATTGTCGCAAAATGTATTGGGGGATCATTCATGCAAAGCATTCTAAAAAACAGCAGCAGTGTATTTATCAAGGAGAGACTTCGGTTATCTACAACAGAAGAAAATAATTGTTCCCATACAATAAGAGTACCACATACCATGATAGATGCATTTTATCAACGTCTTACGTCTGATATAAATAATAATTTAATTTTTGATGTATTAAGTAACAAAATTTTCGAATCGCAGTACTACAGGAAAACATTTATCGGGTACCTTAATAAACACGTGAAGTCAAACACACTTGTTGACTCATCAACTAGGTCAAACGTTCTTCATATTGTTTCATCATTTGGATATTCAGATTTTTTAAATCATTTTTTGACACGAGATAAAGGTCAAGGTGTCAATAAAAAAAATATCAATGGAAAAACACCCCTCCACTTAGCATGTCAAAACGGACATATGAATTGTGTTCAATGTCTACTAAATAATACAGCTGTCGTGAATGATACGGATTCAAAAAAAAGAACTGCACTTCATTATGCATGTGAAGCCGGAAATGAAAGCATTGTTAAATATTTAATTACAAATAATGCTTCCGTAAACAACAAGGACTTGGAAGGTATGACACCCCTCCATGTAGCTTGTGAAAAGGGACACCAGTATGTAGTAAAGTTTCTTGTTGAAAAGAAAGTGAACATAAACGAAGCAGACACAAAAGACAAAACACCGCTGCATTATGCATGTGAACATCGTTTTTGGAATATTGCTGAAGTTTTAATTTTGAATAAAGCGTATGTGAACAAATCTGATGAACAAGGTTCTACTCCACTTCATATAGCCTGTGAATATGGGAATGCGGGAGTAGTCAAACTATTAGTGGAATATAAAGCAGTTACCAATAGTAAAAATAAAAATGGACTAACACCACTCGATATCTCTTTAAAAAACGGAATTGAAGCTGTATCAATATGTTTAAGCCAGTTCGAGAAAAATAAATAAATGGCACAATCATGTTATTTTATAAAGATGTATACTTGTAATATTTTATTTTCAGCTGTCATTGCATTGCATAATTTAATAAAGAGTTAGCATATATTTCAACATATCATATTTTATATATAATATCCATGAATGGATTTTTTTTTATTAACGATACGGATTTGCATTGAAAATTGAAAATGGAAATTAACGTTTAAAGATTTTACTCAATAATTATTCAATAAATATTTTCAAAAAAGGAAATCAAATTGAATATCACAATATTAATCGAAAATTGGAAAACTTAATTGAATAGAATAGTGATTGAAATAAGAAAATGTGTCAACAACCCGAAAAAAGAAGACAACAACCAAAGGCCACAAATGGGTCTTAAATGTAGTGAGACAATTAGTTCAGCGAAATGTACGCTTCATACACTTAATTCCGAAACATACAAATGAACCAAAATTATAGAAACATAAAATACTAACTAAGGCTACATGTTCCTGACTTGGGACAGGTACAAAATGTGAGTTAAACATGGTTTGTTAAATCTAAACCCTCCCTTTTTACGGGTGTCATTCGGTTTATCGAGAGAAAAGATCGTGAAAGAATACCTAACGGTGGTCAAGCATTGCGATTGGATCGTAAAATATCTCGTATCGGATCGTGAATGTAATTAAATGTAAATTCTAATTCAAAATCAGTGAAAAAATCGCTGAATTTTCAAAACGCGGAACAAATCCGAAAAAACAAATATGTCTGTCAAAATGATTCAACTTTCTCAACAATACTGTGCAATAAGATAGAGAAAAATATGCAGTACTTTATGAGAAAACACAAAAGGCGCAATACATGTCTATGGGGATTCATAAAAAAAACACGCTTTTTGTACCTATAATGGTCACATTCCAATATATCATGATACATTTAAAACTTAATCTTTGGTGTGTCCGATAGTACAGTAAAATAAAAGTATGCTCTTCCCTTGAAACCGTTCATTTGTTAATGAAAATCTTGAATTTTGTTGATTTGTCATCAAACTTGATCGTGAAAGATCAGGTACCGCATTATTTTGATCGTGAAAGACAAGGCGTGACCAGACTTAATAATAAGAAAACAATATTGTTTTACCAATTGATATACTTGCAACTGGTTGAAGCGTGAAACGAACATTAAAGTGTTCACTTTCTTATTTTTCTAAATTCAACACTTTACCTCGAAAGTTAAAAAATAACTAAAAACGTGTCTAGATAAGTTGATTTCCAAAAAAAAGGACCTCCACGGGCGTTAATTGTCGAACATAAAGGTGTGTGTATTTTTAAATGCATCCGCTTTGGAAACATGTGCATGTGATCGCAATCATTTTTTAAGGGTTATTACATTCAGTTATTTTCAGTTATGTGGAGTGTCGTTCGGGCGCACTTTATAGCTTGCTGTTCGGTGTGAGCCAAGGCTCCGTGTTGAAGACCGTACCTTGACCTATAATAGTTTACTTTTATAAATTGTTACTTGGATGGAGAACTGTCTCATTGGCACTCATACCACATCTTTTTATATCTATATAGTAGGTCAATATTGTTATATCGTGGCTGCGCCGACACAAACTAAAAGGGTACAAAGACTATTCTAATTAATTGTTTGTTCAGTCTTTTCACAATAGCTATAGGTCATTGTACCCAACTTAGTGGGGGGATTTTCATTCAACGTACTTCGACTGGGATGCCCAGCCTGAACTGTAATTTATCCGATTAAGTTCTATTTTCAATCGTTACAACTTTTACTATATGCAATAACCTTTTCAGTTCGCGTGTGAAAAATTCAGCTCTGAGAATCGTTCTAGTACAATTCAGCAGAACTATTTACTTACCGCCACTATTTAGCCAAGAATATGGGTATGCAACGTTTAAACACAAAAAGTTAACCATCTACCATATCTAATATCGAAAACAGCATCTTTCATTAACGATTTGAGATTGAACGATAACCATGCAACCTTTTGTTTTACAGTTCTTTCTTTAGTTCAATGTCGTCTCTGAGCAAATGCTGAAATGTCTCCTTTGCTTTACTTATGATAGTATATATGATGAACGTCATTAATAGTTAGAGTTTCACTAGACGTGGCACATCAATAAAAAAGAGGTCAAGGTAAGATGAACCATGCCATACAGACCGGTACAAACATTCCGTAGACCAAATATAGTGGTGCTGATGCTTACAGTACCTTAGAAACTGACAAATCTAAAAGTTACATTGGCCAATTAATTCGGAACATATGGTCGAAAGTATGTGCACCCTGACAGACAGCCAGACATAGACATCTTACTAGCATTCAATGTATCAACTTATTTTTTATATTTAACTAATGCTTTTAGTATCTGATAAACTGACAAAACTAGGAAAACTGAACAAAGACCAATGAACCATGAAAATGAGGTCAACGTCATATATGAAACATGCAGACAGGCAGATGATTTTTAATTTTAGTTCACTTTTATATATTTCAGAGTTTAGTATGACGTCCATAATCACTGAACTAGTACACATTTTTGTTTAGGGACCAGCTGAAGCACGCCTCCGGTGCGGGATTTTCTCGTTGTATTGAAGATACATTGACGGTCTTCGAATGTTTTCTGCTCTTTGGTCGGGTTGTTGCTTCTTTGACATATTCCCCATTTCCATTCTCAATTTTATGTACATCATACATCAAATACAGTGGTCCTATAGCATACAGGTATATAAGCAAAATACCAAACCTCATAAAATAAACATTGCCCAGTAATGTATTATATTGAGGTCAAGGTTAGTTGAAACCTTTATAGTCGAAAATGTACACCTTACAATCATAACTTACATCAAATGCAGTTACCTTTACGGACTTGACCACAAAACTAAACCCTGATCCATTAAATAAGGCACATTCGAGGTATGAAAATATTAATACTTTGAAACGCTTAAATTTATTGAGGATCTTCGCTTTATAAATATAATGGGCATACAAATAAGGAATGAAAATGATTAATACAATATAAAACAATCTTAAATTTGTATAAGAAAATAAAACTTATGAATGTCGGACAAATATACTGATATTGCTATGGTATTATAAGATAATTAGATCCAATGACATTGCACGATTATAGCCCTATTCACCAATAAAAGAGACACGGGTTAGTTATCCAATCTGTTATCTTTTATTAACAAAAACAAATATAAATTATCATATAATTGAAGAATGATTTTAACGTCTTTGTAGCAGCAGATCTTTTACAATCGTTTTCACGATTTTCAAAAAGCTGTACGTGATCTTTCACGATCCGAAATATCAATTTTGTGTAAATATTTCTTTTTTTACAAAGTTTCTGATTATGCTTACACAAAATAACTTTGAGAACCATTTGATTCATTCAAGTGGAATGACCTTTTTTTTTTAAAAGTAGTTAAGTCATTCGAAGTATGGAAAAAATCATGTTTGTTTACCATTTTAATGCCATTGAAATGCCGAGGAGCAATCTGCCTTTTTAGTCCAGTCAATCTTGGATAAACCTTAAACTAATTGCAACAGAAGGTTTTTCTGCTCAGACCCGTCAATGATGTCATTATATTTAACATACTAAAAGTCCTAAGAAATCAGAATGGTCTATCATCTTTTTTTCGGGGTTTCATATCATGGTCATAAAACGTCTAAAATATGTTCAACAAAGGCCGCCATACATACAAAGGGGAATAATCGCAACAGACGAACATTTTGTTTTGGTTGATTCTTCGCGCTGTTCTGACGAATTTCGTGAATACAAAATGACAAAGAATATTTATGAAAGGTAAGTTACTATATAAATACGAAAATTGGTACAAAAAACCCGTATGAGTAGTGAATTTTGTGCATATTTACAAAAACAAGAAAAGATAAATGACGTCATCAAATTCGCGTTTAAAAACGCTTACCTACAATTTACAGTATTGTTTACAGTTAAAAAGTTGATTAATTGTATTGATACATCGTAAATAATATTAGGCTGAACAAATTCTCCGTCAATGACTGTCCATCGTTAAAATGAAACACATTTCTGTAAAAAGTAAAATCACAAAAATACTGAACTCCGAGGAAAATTCAATCGGAAAGTCCCTAATCACATGGCAAAATCAAATGACAAAACACATCAAACGAATGGACAACAACTGTCATATTCCTGACTTGGTACAGGCATTTCCAAATGTAGAAAATGGTGGATTGAACCTGGTTTTATAGCGCTAAACCTCTCACTTGTACGACAGTCTTATCAAATTCCGTTATATTTACAACGATGCGTGAACAAAACAGACATTATAAATAAAATAGTCAAAATATGGGTACAGCAGTCATCACTGTGTTACAATATCAAAACAAACAATTATTTACAAAAAAGAACAAAAGCATCTATCAAATTAAAAACCACATTCATTGCTTCGCGTGTCTGACGTCTGGTAACAAAAAATAAATCTATGGAAAGCCAATCTGGACATTAATCCAAGCATCTAACGTTTATCGATAAAAAACAGAACGGCAACATTATAAAGGTGTATTATTCTTAACGAAAAGAAAAGAAGCAAAAAATGAGAATTTTTATATTGTGTTTTTACTATTTAAAAGAAATGTAAGTATAAACTGAATGAATTTGAAGAAAAAAAGATAAATTTCTAATAAAACAATTAATAAAAGTAACATATTTATTATTTTTTTTCAGCATGTTCAACTTGAAGACTGCATTTGTCAAAGTGTACTCCAGAGAATTATATTGATTTAAATCACCATAAAATGCTGTTGATGATTGTCTAGGTAATTTTAAAATTTCATAAAATAATCAATTTATCGGAATAACTTATAGTGTGGTGTTTTCAAAATGACCGTTGAAATAATAGAAAATTACAACCCATTAAAAAATAACCCGACGTACGATACATTTCAACTGATGGGATGTTAAGAAACAAAAGAAAACGAAACAAACAGATCTGAATCAAAATAAAATACTGTCACAACACGTACACTTAGTCCTAGGAAGTAGGGTACATTAAAAACCACTGAAAATGCAATTTAATAAAACATTTTCCTTAATAAAAAAAAACACGACATTGTGTGACGTCTG